CATGAGTTTTTTACTGGGCGGCCTTACACCGCCGATCCATCGATGAGGTGGTGGGGGTTCACACGTAGAGACCTGAGATGCGTGCTGGTGTGCGTCGATCGTCTCTCGCGTCCTTCGTGATGTGAGTCTCCCAGACTCGGTGTGTGCGTGCTCGTCGGTGTGGTACTCATCATCTGCTGTAGCGCCGACTTGTAGCCATTCTCGATGCTCCACTCCCCTCGTCACGAAGCTCACGCATAACTCACGGTGAGCGCGATGGACAGAGTTTGAGAGGATAATAAGAGAAAGAGTAAATAAAAGAAATAAAGAAAATGATAATTGTGGCCCTGGGCGATCCGACTCCTCGCTGGGGTAAAAATACTAATTTTCCCCCCATGATCCGCGGTTAGTTCAGGCGAGGAACAGTACATGATTTTTATCATGTTACAACACATTCATGTGAAGGACTGAGGAGTGAGTTGGACTTATTTTCACTACCACCAACGCAGACAGCTATCGAATCATCATACGGTGTACACTACAAGCCAATTGCATCACTTATGGATAACTCACCCATCGAGTTCGATATACCAGGACAAGGTGATGAGTACATTGACTTAGCACACACCCGATTATTGTTACGTGTTACGATACCAATATCAGTGACAGAGAATAATCCTATACCGTCGCCTATTATTGGGCCCGTCAACAATTTATTACACTCATTATTTGACCAAGTTGATATTTCCTTCAACCAAAAAGCAGTGACTCCTCCTAATAATGCATATGCTTATCGTGCTTACATAGAAACTCTTCTGAACTATGGCTCAGATGCAAAACTCTCACACTTGAGTAGTGTGCTGTGGGTAGATGATACATCGGGCTATATAGATAACATCGGTGACGAAAATGCGGGTTTAAAGACGCGTAGGGTCTATTTGGATGACGGTAAAATAGTTGACCTCACGGGTCACTTATATTGTGATCTATTCAATCAATGTCGAGCATTGCTGAATGGTGTTAATATTCATATCCGATTAGTTCGTTCGAGAGATAATTTCTGTTTGATAGATAGCACGAACAGTGCGTTCACCATTAAAATAATAGAAGCGTCGTTGATCATTCGAAGAATGAAAGTGAGCCCTGGATTATTACTATCGCATCAAAGAACCTTATCGATTACAACAACCAAATACCCTGAGATACAAGAGTTGAAGTTGAGAGTGTCTCAATTCCATCAGGAGTCCGCGGTTATTTTTTAGATAACTTCATAACGGGACAACTGCCAAAACGTATCATTTTCGGATTTGTAACGAAACGTGCATCTGTGGGCGATAAAAGATTAAACCCTTTCAACTTCCACCATCTTGGACTAAATCATATATCCTTATATGTGGACGGACGTCAGATACCATCCCAACCTCTGTAACCGGAGTTTTATGAGAATGGTTTATATGTGGAATCATATCACACCATGTTCTCAGGTAGTGGTCTACATTTCCTGAACGATGGTAATGGTATTCATCGTGGAAATTATCCACATGGCTATTGTCTATTTGCATTCGATTTGACACCAGATTTGTCAACGAATGACAACTCCCACTTGAATTTGATACGAAGTGGTAACATGCGCATCGAGGTACGATTTGATGATTCATTAGCTTCAATGATTAACGCAACGATTTATGCTGAGTTTGACAGCGTCATCGAAATTGACTCAGCAAGGTAAGTGACCTTGGATTATGCATGAATAAACAAGAATTCGGTATCATGTCCCTCGCATGCGCAGTTATCTCACAGCATCAGCAATTTTTGTTTCCCTGAGACTAAAGATTTGCAGAAGGAATCAAATGCTCAGTTAGTTGTGGATATTGAGTGTACAAGTTTCCGAAAGAACAGTATAGCAATGGCCTCTAGTGATTCAGATTCATCAGTGATTATTCATTACCAGGGTTTCGTTGGAATTTTTGGTACATTCCTTCCAAAAGAAGTAGCTGTTACCTCCACATCCTCCAATATGATCGGTCATTCGGTGATCTGTCCTAAATACCAATATTCTGCGATTCCGCCAAATATTTAGAGGATGAACAACCAACTTACAATTACACGTCTTGGTATCGATTGGTATGAAGGAGAGGCATCTTTTAAATACGTATATGCAGTATTATGTTCCGTTACCAAAGGTGTGCGGTATGTGTATACCTACGGTCACCACCAAACGAAATTCACGAAACGAAATTCATCAATTTGAAGACGCAGATCAGATTATCACTATTTGCTTGTACATCAATGCCTGTGACATCGTGTCTCATACACAGTTCATTGAATCACAAAACGTTTACATGTGCTATGCGACGGGTACTTCAAATCAAAGCGTGGTTGAATACGAGCGAAGAAAGACCAGAAAATCTGCATAAAGATATTTCAGGTTCTAATGAACAGAGTACGGATTTTAAAAGCCCTACAGTATATACCGAGTCATTCAGTGGGTTTATATCCAGCCGGCAAGATCCCATCGGTGTGAACGAAACCGACAGCAATAAGAGCGAACACACATGATCACACCAAACCAGGAGAACATTGGGTCGCCATGTACGTCGATCGAGATGGCAGAGGATAGTGCTTCGACAGCTTCGGATTACTCCCCATCGTGCCCCAGCACGCTTTAAGACTCCGAAAAAACTGTAAACTTTTCAAGTGCAGCTTCCAACAACCCCAGCATCATGACTCAAGCATATGTGGACAATACAGTGTACAATTTCTGCATTGTATGTCTATGTTTGCTACTCCTGAGAAGTTCTATTCTTTATTTACCAATTGATTCATATCTAATGATCGCTTATTACGAGAATATTATGATGCGTTTATGAATAAAAAACGTAATTGTACCCCTGAAGGGAAATTATTTAGTGGACGCAGTTATAATTGTACTTCGTGGAACCAAACATGTAAGTAGTTCATAAGAAAACGGAATATGTAATTCATGGGGTCAATATTTTTTTTGGAGAAATAAATATATATTAATGTAAACTTTGTATTTTTATTCTTCCCTGTAGTGGTGTTACTCCTATCCCACCACTCGTTCGCATCGGAGTCGTGCTACTCTGATCGGTGGAGTGGAGGGGTCGGCATGACTGTAGGGGGGGGGGGCATCCAAGTGGCTCTTGCACTACTTCTGTCCCATCTGAGTATCCCTCAGGCTGCTGCATGTAGACGTATTCCTTCAGTTTGCCATACAAAAACGCAGTTTTGACGTCAAACTGTCTTGCATGCATTTTTTTTCTGCTGCCACCAAAGCGAGGCACATCCTAAGTGACTCTATCCTGGCTACAGTGCTGTACGTCTCGCTGAAATCCACTCCTGGCTTCTGCTGGCAATCTTTCACCACGAGTCAAGCTCTATATCTGTTGATAGATCCATCTGGGATATATTTCAACTTGTAGACCCATCTGTTCTTCAGGACGTTGGCTCCCTTGGGCCGCTTCACCAGTGACCAGGTTTGATTTTCCTTCAGAGATTCTATTTCTTCACTCATCGCTCCCTTCCATTGGGAAGCCTCATTGCTCTTTTCAGCATCCATGTATGTCAAGGGTTCCTCCTGGTGCGCCGTGAGTGCCATCACAGAGTATCAAGTTCTCCACAGAGGACGCGTCGATGAAGTCGTCATCCTCGGAAGTGTCCAGTCCTTCAACTGGCTCTCATTCCTCGACTTCATCTACTTCATCACTTGTGTTGCACGCTTCAGAGCTATCACCCACAGGCCATCCCCATCGAATTGGTTTTTCTGTAGTCGGTTTAATGAGTTTATCTTCGTTGAATATGACGTGACAGTGCACTTTTACCTTCTTTGTCTCAGGTATCCATATTCTATATCCCTTCACGTTTGCGTCATACCCTACTAAAAGTCCTTTGGTCGCCCTTGCCCCGAACTTGTTATGTCTCCTCTGTTTGGGGGTGTGGAAAAACACTTCACTCCCAAACGTTCTGAACATCTTAAGGTCAGTCTCCTTATTGTGCCATAGCTCATATAGGGTTTTTCCTTCCTCACTGCTTGTGCCAGTTTGATTGAGTATAAACAGCAGCATTCACAGCTTCTGCCCAAAGGTATTTAGAGAGATGTGTGGCTGCCAACATGGTCCTTGCTGCTTCCACCACGGTTTCATTCTCACGTTTGATCCGCCCATTGTGCTCAGGGACGTAGAGTACTAATCTTTGGTGCTTAATTCTTTTTTTATCAAGGATGACTTCGACTGCTGCATTCACGTACTCCAATCCATTATCCGTGCGGAAAGTATTCACCGATTCGCTGGTCTCCTGTTCCATTCTCTTCAAGAAGTGTAAGAGGTGCTCAGGAACTTTGCTGCCATAAATTACACAGCCCTATAATGTGAGTAGTCATCCTTGAACAGCAAGAAGTACTCAGCTCTTCCCAATGACTTGATTTCTACCTTGCCACAGACGTCTGCATGGATTATTTCCCCAACTTTACGAGTTTAATGCCTCGTGGGTGGGTGAGGTAGGCGGTGAATTTTTCCCATCAAAAAATCAATTTTTTCGACCGTTATAGTAACAATTTCTGCGACGGTTTTGGGCCATAGTCAGTCAGATGCGGGTAAAAACAATAAAAAATAATCAAAACAACTTCATTATGTTGACAAATAGAATTCGTGGTCTCAATGATACTAGCAAGCAGACATTGTGCCTATAGGTTAGGGCGCACGATATGGTGTATCTGATGTGCAATTAGAATTAGCACAACTTTATTTTTTCCTTTAGCGTTATGAATTAAGATTAAATATATGAAGCACCTGAAGAGGAGTACCTCGAGCACTTGAAACGTTGTGCAATTTGTTAACATAATGGAGTTGTTTTGATTATTTTTTATTATTTTCACCCGCATCTGACTGACTATGGCCCAAAACCGTCGCAGGTGAATTTTTCCTTCAGCACATGGTTGGCAAAATTCCTTTGCTCTCACTGTCTTTATGCCCTTTTCCTTGAGTGAACCCACAGCCTTAAATTTAATTTTTCAGGACGTCTTCACGTTCTCTAATCGCCACTGTTTCCCTATTTCTCTTAAACGAGGCACCTGTGCTCGTGGCCACATGTAGGAGACCCTTGTCAGTCGCGGCCTCCGTTGAGAACAGGTTGAATCTGATATCTGGCACATATAGAATATTTTGTATGTGCTTTGGCACCCATTCTTCCCCATCGTAAGCCAGGACATTTATGTCTCCCCTTGCAGATCTTATTATAACTTTTCCATCCCCAATCATGATCTGCTCAGGGAAGTTCAAGGGCTCCAGGTTGACAAACCATTCTTTTCGTGGGGACATGTGACTCGACGCTGCTGAATCTAGATACCAGTCCTCATTTGAACTCTCGGATGTGGGTAACATAGACAGCACATGAGTCATCAGAGCTCTTCCATGACTCTTGGAACTTTTTGCGTCCTTCTCGTAACGGTTGGAGAGATATTTCAATTTCTCACGACAGTCATATTCCCAATGACCTTGGTTATGACCATAATGGCACTGTCCTGACTTTTTCCCATGACCTGAGCTCTTTTTCTTCCCAAGTTCTTTATGATCATTGCTTTTGTAGTGCTTTGCTGCCAATGCTTGATTTTTTGCATCTTTTGACGTGGTGATGAGGCCACTGAGATTGCTCTGATCCTCTTGATGTTTCAATCTGGCTTCTTCTGCACTCAACCTCGCTTTCAGGTTATTCAGCGTTCGCTCAGCCAGTGCAGTGAACTCCCAGACTGAACAGAAATGGTTAAGGGTAGGTGGCAGTGTCAACAGAATTTTTGTCATAATCATACTATCTGAAACTGTCTCAACCAGAGCCTTGAGTTTGTGAGCGACGCTCTGCACTTTGGAGACGTGTTCTGCGATGTCGTCCTTGGGGTCCTCGGCCAGCAGGAACCACTCCTGCTGGAGCGTGTGAATCGCAGCCTCTATTTTGCTTGCGAAGAGTCAATTCAATGTGTCCCACATCTCTTTGGCGGACGGGCAAGTCATCACATGATGCATCGTCGTCTCGTTCAGGTAATTCACTATGAGGCGTTATGCGTTTCCTTCTATTTTCTCCCACTGTTTCAATTTCGCGGCGAAAGCAGCTACTTGTGTTGGAGTAGCATCAGTCGCAACCTCAGGTTTTGGATTCTCTCCGTGGACAATTCGATACCCCTCAATAGCCATGAGTTGGATTCTCATCTGGAATTTCCGTTCTGCCCAATTTTCAGCTCTTTTTAATTTGATGTACCTCTGTTCTTCACGCTCTTCTTCCTTTTTTGTATTTTTGCTCTGTTGCACGTGGGCGGCTAACCACAAATGTGGTCTGAACGTATTCACTTGTTCAACTGAATTTTTTTGAAGAAATTCCAAAAACTTTTTCTTGATAAAAATTACTAGATATCGCCCCTGGGCCCATAACCTGTTGATTTATGGCAGGGAACCTAGGATTATTAAATACCTCGAGGATTAACTTTAGTCGTACATTGTTACATTTCAATGAGTTGTGATGTGTTATTTTCCGTCACAAATAGCATTGTTTGTTATTCGACCGTTTCGCGTGTGGGTTTCGAATTTAAAAATCACCAGACGGGAAGTCACCAACCGACAGCGAGAGTCACGAGAGAGGTTCAGTATCTTTTGTTAATTCTTTTGTTTTGTATCGTCTTCTGGATTGTTTGGATCGAATCTGGCGCCGACATCGTGGGACTGAGGTGGCAATGTCTCCGGGAATCGTCGAGGGACTTCGGGACACTTCGAGTTCGTGATGAAAGCCTCATGGGTCTTCGGATTGCCAGAGGTCGTCAGCCCTCGGGCAACTCTAGGGGAAACGTGATGTAGGAGCCCGGCTGGTTCAATGTGGAAGGGGAAGTGAAGTATTTCACCGAGATCAGAAGGAGGTTGAGTTAAATGGGCCTTTGGTGACAAAATGGTCAGGAGACTGATTGGAAAGGAGGTCAGAGGACATTTAGAGTTAATTGATACTCTGGGATAAATGGTTCTAATTAAATAACGTCTAGAGAAGTCACTGCGCATGCGCCGACGGACTTGGTTCGGCCATGTGAGCGACAGAGACTAGTTGTCCAGAAACTGATTGGAGGAGTGAACGGAACGAGCAGCCAATGAGCGTCGTTACCGCGTTTTCACAGTCCAGCGTGGTGTCGCTGGGAAAACGAACCTCACTTCCCGTTTGGTGCTTCCAACACACGTTGTGTTTAAGCTATTTGTAGAGTTAATTGCGTTAGTTTTGGAGTTTTGGGGAGCCTGAAGGCGATCTAGAAGGAGAATAAGACCTGTGGAGGAAGCCTTGAGTGGATTCGTCTGGAGGAAGGTCCCGAGGACTCGGAATTGAGGAGTTTTTGAGACGTTTTCCGGAGGCATCGAGGTGGACTGCTGGGTGAGCGTGATGGCTACGACTCCGTATGACGCATCTGTGTAAATTTGTCGTGAGTAGGACTCTGGCCAATTTTAGAATTTTGAATAGATGTTCCGTGCATCTTAGTCCCATAGGACTTCTAGAGTTTCGAGATAATTGCCGGATAGAGTCCTAGTCACTCTGATCAGTACTTAATTAGTGGGTCTTTTCGTCTCTCTCTCGTGCGTAATTGGAATCATTGTGTTTGATCATTCGATTTCGGTTGTCTCGCGACATTGATTCATTTCGTAGAGTCTCGGGCTCTCGGGTTTCATGTTGCGAGTAACTATTATTTTATGAATATTTTGGTTGTTAAAAATGAGTTAGTGTTGCGTCTAAATTAATCGGTATTAGATGAACGCTCTCTCTGTCGGTGAATATTCAGTAAAGGACATTGAACGTACGTCTTTTGTGTCTCGTGACCTTGCTTCGTTTCGCTGGCCCATTGTCTCGAGTTTTCGTATTTGTGTCGGACTGCCAGCGTTACTTGTCACGTAGATGAATTCTTGGGTTTCGATCGTTCAGTGTTGTTCAATCTACATGATTATTGTGGACGATATTTTGAGTCTGTTTTTTTTTTTGTTTCGTTTACCGGAGAGGTTTCACTTGCCTAATTAACAGTTTCATTGACGGTTTTTTTTTATTATTTCATCATCGTTGGAATTGGGGTTCGGGTTTTATTGTCGAATGACGTTGGGGTTTTCTATTTGTTGACTCTCTCGTCATTCTTATCGATTCAATTCGGAGTTCAGGTTTCGTGACCGTGGATTTACTGTGGCGTGAGTTTTGTTCAACGGTATTTCGAGTTTCGAATTTTATTTTGGGACTGTGTTTTCGTGATTTTGACTTTTCAGTTTTGAGAATTTGTTTTTTTTTTGTGCCGAGGTATTGGACAACAGTATTATTGGTTGTGATATCTCGAATTCGAGAATTTATTTGTGATATTCGCGCTTTTACGAGATAAAGGGTGCGACCTGCGTTGCGAGAGAGAGAGACTTATTTTGTGTAATTTAAGGATATGTATGATTGGTCTGACTTTTATGTTTGATCATTCATGTAACTTGGATCGATTGATATATCACCATGGAAGTCAACATTAGTGATTTTGTTTTGAGTTCACGCGAATATTCACGTTTGGGTCCGGCATTTTCGTTGATTATGGCTTCAGGGGGTACGGATACTTCTAAGAATGCTCAGGGGAATTCTTCTGGCGCTGCTGGTTGGGAAGCCGATCAGTGGATTCGGGATTTAACTTTGACGAGATTGCGTGAGGTCCTGAGGGCATTTGATGCTAATACGGAGGGTGAGGAGGAGGTTGTTCGGGATCGGTTGATTCGAGCTATTCGGTTGAAATCTTTTCCTAATACCACGTGGACCGAGATCGATCGTCGTCAAGATCGTCCGTTAGTTAGGCCTGGGGATGATCAGAGGAGACCCGCTCCTTTGATACCGCCTAGATCTGGAGCTGCTAATCAGGATCGTGCGGGAATGACTTTGAATGCTACAAATCCGTTTTTGAATGATTTGAATCAGGAAAATGTGCCGTATGTGTCGAGTTCTCCTAGAGATCGGGATGATGCGTTCTTCGCTAATGAGAGAGTTGAAGAGGCTAGGATGGGTCACGTGAATCAGAGGGTAATCATGTCCGTAATGGTCCAGTTCAGAACGGAGGTTCAGCGGGACTTTACTGTTGGAGGATGGTTAATGGAATTTAGACTTTGGTTCAAGTTGACGATGGTAGCTTCGCGTACTCGAATGGCGGATCGGATCGTGAGTTTAACCGTGGATTGGATAGAATTCGGGATGAAAATGCACGTCTTAATTTGGGTGCTTTTGATCGAGTCCAATCGTGGAAGTTAACTTTCTCGGGTTCGACTGCAGAGAACGTTGATACGTTCTTGAGAAAAGTCAATGTCTGCAAGGACGCTTGTAACATGAAGAACGAAGAATTGTTTCGTGTTATTCCGGTCTTGTTAAAGGGTATAGCCTACAATTGGTGGGAGGAACGGAAAACTCGATTTCAGGATTTTGAGGGATTTAAGTTAGCGTTCATTCGTAGGTTCTCGAATCCAGAAGTGAACAAGTGTCGTCTCGTTCACGATATTGTGTTGCGAACACAAGGTGATCTGGAGTCTGGATCTGATTTTATCGATAACGTCCGTCTGATGTGGACTCATTCGCGTGATACGCATTTCTCTGAGGAGGCTAGGTTGGATCTCGCGTTTATGAATCTTAGACGTGAGTATCATCACATGATCTCCAGGAGAGATTTTCAGACTTTCGACAAACTTGAAGAATTAGTTCAGGACTTTGATGAGAGACGAAATCTTCCTAAACTCGCTGCTCCACCTCCTGTTCAGGATACGATCTATCCATTGTGTGCTTATGCACCTGATCGTTATAAGGGGGCAGTTAAGAACAAGACTTCAGGGAATACTGAAGTTTGTGCTGTCGATCTCACATTGCCGAAAGTTGTGGGTTTTGTTAGGGGTAGGGCGGATGCGAAGTCCGTTAAGAAGAAGAATAAATCTTCTGCTGGTGCGACTAAAGTCTCAGCCGTACCTGTTAGCTCTGAAATCCCAGTCAGCTCCGTATTGGGAGGGGTTGCGTCTAAGCCTCCTAATCTGGATGTTATTTGTTTTAANTCTGTTAGTTCTGAAATTCCAGTTAGCTCCGTATTGGGAGGGGTTGCGTCTAAGCCTTCTAACCTGAATGCTATTTGTTTTAACTGTCGAAAACCAGGACATCGTCGTATCGTTTGTCCAGAGCCATTGACGGGAGTGTTTTGTTTTGGTTGCGGGGCAAGAGATGTTCGTAAGCCACAATACTCCGTGTGTCAGGCTAAGATACGTAGGACGGGAAACTCGAAAGCAGGGCAGTAGATTCTAACCCTCTGCTGTCCGGTGATGAATTACGGGTTAATTCAGTGGACGTTTCGCCGGTTTGTCAGAACAGTGGGGAGAGTAGGAAAACAGGAGATCAATTATCATCAGATGGTCGAGGTTCCGCGGGTACCGCGCCGATGAATGAAACTCCGGGGAGTCAAAGCGAGGGTGTTGGGTTTGGCCAATCTGATACCGTCGGGGAGATTTGCCAAGTGAGTATCGAGTCTAATCAACGTCTTTATTTACCGGTCACGATCGGGTCGGTGGGTTTGAACGTTTTGTTGGACTCTGGCGCATCAAGCTCTTGTATCCGTAGTGTTCCGCGAGATTGGGTGGATAAGTTAGGTTCGGAAATCTCTTGGTCTCACAACTCATCGGTAGTTGTTGCGAATGGGGCTAGGGAGACGATTTTTGGAACAGTTGTGATTCCGGTTACGTTGAAAGGAGTTACG